TTTATTGAAGAGACTGTTTTTACTTCATAGTATGGTCTTGCCTCCTTTGTCAAATAATAATTGCCCATAATGGCATGGGTTTATTTCCAGGTTCTCCATTCCATTCCATTGATCTATATGCTTGTTCTTATGCCAGTTTTGATTACAGTGGCCTTGTAGTATAGCTTGAAATTCAGTATTGTGACCCCTCCAACTTTGGTCTTCTTTCTGAAGAATGCTGTGGCTGTTCTGGGTCTTTTGGGTTCCATATAAATTTTTGTAATATTTGTTCTAGATCTATGAAATATGCCATTGGTATCTTTTTTTTTTAATTAATCCTCACCAGAGGATATATTTTTTCCATTGCTTTTCAGCGAGAGTGGAAGGGAGGGAAGGAGGAGAGAGAGAGAAACATCTACATGAGAGAGACACATCAATTAGCTGCCTCCTGGACGTGCCCTGACCAAAGGAGGGGGGCGAAGGATTGGGGAGGGGGAGGCAGGGAGCAAACCCCCAACCCAGGTATTCACCATTGACTAGGAATGAAACCCTTGACCCTTCAGTGACTGGGCCAAGGCTCTTACCACTGAGCAACACCATCCAGGGCTGCCATTGGTATCTCAATAAGAATTGCATTGAATCTATAGATTGCTTTGGGTAGTATGGACATTTTATTTATTTTTATTTTTTAATATATCTTTATTGATTTCAGAGAGAGGAAAGGAGAGGGAGAGAGAGAGATAGAAACATCAATGATGAGAGAGTCATTGATCGAGCCCACAACCTGGGCATATGCCCTGACCGGGAATCGAACCCCAATTGCCTGGATCCCAGGTCGACGCTCAACTGCTGAGCCACGCTCGGCCGGGCAGTATGGACATTTTAGTGATGTTACTTCTTCCAATCCATGAACACGGTATTTGTAGTCCACTTATTTGTATTTTCCTCCATTTCTTTCTTCAATGTCTTATAGTTTTCCAATATAGGTCTTTTATCCCCTTGGTTAATTTATTCCTAGGTACCTTACTGTTTTTGTTGTTGCAATAGTAAATTGGATTGTTTTCTTAGTTTCTCTTTCTGATAGTTCATTATTGGTGTACAAAAATGCCACCAATTTCTGAATATTAATTCTGTTTCCTGCTACTCTTCCAAATTCATTTATTAGACCTAGTAGTCGTTTGTTGGAGTTTTTAGGGTTTTCTATGTACAATATCATGTCATCTGCAAATAATGACAGTTTTACTTCCTGCTTTCCAATTTTGATGCCTTTTATTTCTTCTTGTTGTCTGATCGTGTGGCTAGGACTTCCAGTACCATGTTGAATAAGAGTAGTGAAAGTGGACATCCCTGTCTTATTCTTGATCTTAAGGGAAACACTTTTAGTTTTTCCCCATTCAATATGATGTCAGTTATGAATCTGTCATATGTGGCCTTCATGATGTTTAGGTATTATCCCTCTATTCCCACTTTGCTGATAGTTTTTTTCAAAAATGGGTGTTGGATTTTATCAAGTGCTTTTTCTGCATCTATTGATATGAGCATGTGGTTTTTATTGTTCACTTTGTTTATTGATCTGCAAATATTGTACCAGCCTTGCATGCCTGGAATAAATCCCACTTCATCATGGTGTATGATCTTTTAAATCTACAGCTGGATCCAACTTGCTAATATTTAGTTGAGGATTTTAGCATCTATGTCCATCAGGATGTTGGCCTGTAATTCTCTTTCTTTGTAGTGTCTTTATCTGTTTTTGGATTTAGGATAATGCTGGCATTGTAAAAAGAACTGGGGAGTCACCCCTCCTCTTGGATTTTTTTGGAATAGTTTGAGAAGGATGGGTGTTAGTTTTTCTTTGAATGTTTGGTAAAATTCACCTATGAAGCCATGCAGTCCAGGACTTTTGCTTGTTGGTAGATTTTGATTACTGCTTCAATTTCACTAGTTGTAGTTGGTTTGTTCAGATTCTCTGATTCTTCCTGATTCAGTTTTGGAAGATTGTATGTTTCTAGGAATTTATCCATTTATTCCAGATTGTCCAATTTGTTGGCATATAGTTGTTCATAGTATTTTCTTACAATGGTGTCAGCTGTTACTTCTCCTCTTTCATATTTGATTTTATTTATTTGGGTCCTCTTCTTTTTTTTCTTGATGAATCTGCTTAAAGGTTTGACAATCTTACTTATTTTTTCAAAGAATCAGCTCTTTTTTCATTGATCTTTTTATTTTTTCAGTCTCTATTTCATTCATTTCCCACTTGTTCTTTATTATTTCCTTCCTGTACTTACCCTGTGCTGTGTTTGTTGTTCTTTGTCTAGTTATTTTAGGTGAACAGTTAGATTATTTGAGATTTTTTTCTTGCTTTTTGAGGTAGACCTGTAATTCTATGAACTTCTCTCTCAGGGTTGTTGTGTTCATTTGTTTGTTTCCAGGTAATTTTTAAATTTTTCCTTGATCTGAATTTATCCATTTATTGTTAAATAACATGATATTTAGCCTCCATGTGTTGGAATGCTTTTCAGGTTTCTTTTTTATTGCAGTTGATTTGTAGTTTCATACCATTGTAATCTGAGAAGATGCTTGATATGATTTCTGCCATCTTGAATTTATTAAGACTCATTTTGTAGACACTCAATATGTAGTGTCTTTCTTTGTCTCGTACTATAGCCTTTGTTTTAAAGTCTGTTTCATCAGACATAAATATTGCTACTCTAGCCTTTTTTTTTTTTTAATTTCCATTTGTATGAAACATCTTTTTCCATCCCTTTACTTTTAGTCTATCTATCTTTCATTTTGAGGTGGGTCTCTTGTAGACAGCATATATACGGGTCTTGCTTTCTTATCCATTCAGCTACCCTAAGTCTTTTTTAAAAAATGTTTTAATAATTGATTTTTAGAGACGAGAGAAGAAGGGGATGGGGGCAGAGAGAGATGACTCATTTCACTTATTTATGCATTCATTGGTTGATTTTTTTAATAAACACGCAGTTTTCATTTTATTTCATTTCTTTTTGTTATCAATAGTAACTTCTATTTTTAAATTATAGTTTACATTCAATATTATTCTGTATTAGTTTTAGGTGTACAACATAGCGGGACATTTATATAACTTATGAAGTGATTCC